TTCTTTCTTCTAAAATCTTCTTTTTTCAGCCCCAAAAAAGGCCAAATAAAAAATCAATAATAACCGACGCACTTAAAAAAAAAAAAAATAATCCATCTTTACCCATGGAGGGCTCCGCACAGACTGAGCTCTGCAGGGCAGGGGAAAGCTTATAAAGCCTTGCCCTGCCCTACACTGCAATTAGGCTCAGAGCACTCTGATTGGTGGGTTTAAGCCATCCAACCAGAGTGCTCTGACAGGTAAATGAAGAGACTGACAGGTAAGTCTCTACATTTACCTGTCACAGCACTCTGATTGGTTGGCTTGAAATCCACCAATCAGAGTGCTGTGTTATTTTACAAAGCGTGGAAAAAGTTATTTGGAATTTTCCCACGCTCTGTAATTTGACTCATAACTCTGTGATTGGTTACTTAATCCACCAATCAGAGTGTTATGAGTCAAATTACACAGCATGGGAAAATTCCAAAGAACTTTCCCACGCCGTGTAAAATGACTTGGTGAATTCTGATTGGTGAATTTCAAGCCAACCAATCAGAGTGCTGTGACAGGTAAATGTAGAGACTTACCTTAAAGTTTTTTTTTTTTTCTTTAACAGACATGCCCCTACTCGCGGTATGGCGAGTACGGGCATAATTTACTAATACTAACTAATCTTTACTTAGTATTAGTAAATTTGTCTGAAAGACCAATTTACGTCTTTCAGCCTTTTAGTAGATAGCTCCCTAGTACCGTGGGAATTAGGGAGTTATCTACTCGTTCATTCTTGTCATTACATTGACTGGCCAAGTAACTTACATTTTATATGAATATATGTTACTTGATTGTTGTAAGTGTTGCAAATGCTTACAGCTGAATCCTGACTATGTTTGTATACTTTTTATTTAAAATTGTATACAGTGTAACATTCTTCATTCTTCCACTGGGTAAGTATGTTAGTTCTTAGGCAATACTGTGCTTTCGAACTTCGGCACTTCGGCACTACGACACTTCGGAACTTCGGCAACTTCGGAACTTTGGCAACTCTGGCACTTCGTCATTTCGACACTTCAGGACTTCGGAATCTCGGCATTTTGGAATTTAGGAACTTCGGCACTTCTGGACTCACTTAGGGAGTTATCTACCAAAAGGCTGAAAGACCTAAATTGGTCTTTTAGACAAATTTACTAATACTAAGTAAACATTACTTCGACACTTCGGAAATTCGGTAATTTCGGAACTTCGGGACTTCGACAATTCGGCAATTTGGCAATTCGGCAACTCATCTATTCAGACAATGTCCGAATTGCCTTAAATTGCACGTCTACTAACAGATACGTAATTGTAACCAGACAAATGAACACACAGGAACAGAGGGATGAGTTTACATGCTTGAGGGAGTGGGGTATAGTGACACAAAGGGTATAAGTAGGGTTAATGAAATAGGTTGCTAGAAAAGTATTCAAAAAAACTAGTTTTTTTTTTACAGCTGCAGGAGAGGAGTCATGGGGGGTGAGGTGGGATGAAAACCCGCTAACAGTTTAGATGATATGCTTTCATGAAGAAGTGTGTTTTCAGAGGTTTTTGAAGTAGTCGAGACTCCTGGGTAAAAGTCCAATGGAGGAGGTAAGGGAGTTCCACAGAAAAGGTGCAGCCCTGGAGAGGTCTTGGAAGCGAGCATCATATGTGGGAGTATGGACAGAGGAGAGGCGTAGGTCTTCAGCAGAGCGCAGGGGCCTCGACGGGACATATTTGTGTATTAGGAAGGATAGGTAGGTTGGAGCAGAATTATATAGGGACATGTGAGCAAGCACCCGAATCTTAAATTGAGCCCTGTATCTAACTGGAAACCAATGTATGGACTGACAGAGAGGGGAGGCGGACAGGAAAATGAGCCTTGCCACCGCATTCATTATAGATTGCAGTGGTGCAATCTGGGAACACGTAAGACCATTGAGAAGGGGATTGCTCTATTCAAGGTGAGAAAGTACAATGGAATGGACCAGCACCTTAGTTGCGCCTGGTGTTAAATAAGGGCGGATGCGAGCTATGTTTTTGAGATGGAAGTGGCAGGATTTGGCAATCGGCTGGACATAAGGGGTGAAGGAGAGGTCTGAGTCAAAGAGAACACCCAGGCAGCGAGCCTGCGAGGTAGAGGTGATGATGGTGCCATTGACTTGGAGTAAGACAGACATGGGAGTAGCAACACTTGAGGGAGGAAAGACCAGAAGTTCCGTTTTGGACAGGTTGAGTTTAAGGAAGTGAGCAGCCATCCAGTTGGAAATCGCGGAGAGGCAGTCAGAGACACAAGTCAAGATAGGTGAAGAGAGATCAGGAGAGTTTGTAACAGAGCTCCCTGTGCCCCTGCTGGGTACCTCCACCAAGGATCGCTTCCTAGCTGGAACCAGGGAAAACCTCAGTGCTTCTGCCCCAGTCGCCGTGGCTTGACTGGGGTCCTCCTGGAGACTCTCTGTCCTGGAACAGGGTAGGGGACTAGCTCTATGCTCTCCCAGTGACTAGACCACACACAGTCCTGGGAGCTCTAGTCCTTACAAGGATTTTCCCTGACGAATCTTTCATGAGCTGGAACAGGGTGCTGAGCAGTGATTAGCCCTTTCTTCTCCCAATAACTAGATGACACATAGTTCTGGAAGTGCAACTGCTTTTAGTGAGCCAAACTCTGCCTTTTATCCACATATGATATGTGGTGAAGCCAACGTCGCCACTGTGAACTGGAGAAGCCTGGCTGCCCGCCTCCTACCTGCTGACTATGGCCCCTTGTGAATTTGTACTTTGGAATGCAATATTTGGGCATGTGGTATTGTATATTGCTGCTACTGGCCCTCCGTGGACATAGGACTTTTTTAGAACAATATTCCTTTAAGACTGTGTAGCAGATTACAGTAAGGATGTCTTTTATATTATGTATGTTTCTGTGTGTTCGGCTAGATTGTATATGTATATGCAGCATTCCCCTGATTGTTCGGTAGAATCACTCCATTCATTATATTGAGTGAAACTACTGAACAACCAGACCACCCAGGAATAAGTGTGCCTCCAATTACCGTTTGCAACAATGTTGCAAACGGGTAATTGGCAATCGATGTAATGTGTTCTTTGTCCTCTGGGTGGCCGCCATTCTGGAAACGAACACGTGGCGGCGGCCATCTTAAACTCCCGAACAGCGGTGTTTTGCCGTCGAGTGTCTGGAACTAAAATCAGACACTCGACTAGGCAAACACCGCTGAGACCTCCAGACTTCCAGCAATTCGTGCAGAAACTACCGAACGGCCTGCCGTTCGGTAGAAAGGATCACACGAACAAGGGGATTCATACGAATCCTCCCCAAGCTCTATAACCCAAGCCATTCGTGGGTTTTGTTCACTTTTCTGTGTCCGACCGCAGGGCCAAAATACATGGAACTATTTTCGGATACTTTTGCCATGCGGTCGGTCAAAACTTGTAAGTCCCATAACTCCTGAACCCTTTATCCGAATGGGCTGATTTTCACATATGTTGGTCCTCCAGACCAGGGCTATCTGGAGATACTGGATTTGTGGATGTACCCCAAGTATTTGAGGTACATCCAAAACTCGGGGGAAAATATGTACATGTTAATTATGTTAACTGGTTATCTGAGGGGAGGGAATCTGTGGGTTGTAACCATTATGCTGTTGGTATACTGTAAATCCCTCCCTTGCATGGGAGAATCCTTTATAAGCCTGTTGTGGGAATAAATCAGGAGATTCTGTGTAACCCTCAAAACGAAGTGTCGTCTCGTTATTGGGGGAATTGGATTGTATGCTGACTGCCAGGAGTGTAACCCTTTCGTATGGTTTTCCTGTTCGGATATTTCCAGTTTCAAATGTTTCCAGTTCGGGAGATCGGTGCTTACAGTAGCTGTAGCCGAGAAAGGGGAATATCGCCTAAATGGTTTTTAACCTCTGGTGAGCAAAACGGTCCGTTACATGATACATCCCCAAATAGCCCTGATCTGAACGCCCAAGTTTTCCACATAGCTCTCAGATTCATGCAGTGTAGAGGAAACACCACCGTGTTAAAGTTCTGACCGGCCGCACACGAGGTCCTATGCCCCAAATAGTTCCAGGGCGTTTGGTGCTTTTAATGGTCAACTTTTGGGAGCTCCTGCGTCCGAAATACGGGGTGCTCTGCCTGGCTCTCATGTAGCGTTTGTTCCACTTAGTCTCAGGTACCTGTTTGTCTCCCAACCCTGGAACACATTCTGCTGTTTGTTCCCCTTAGTCTCAGGTACCTGTTTGTCTCCCAACCCAGGAACACATTCTGCTGAAAAAGGAGGACGATACACTCCTCTACCTGGAATGCACACTGCCGCTGGGGAGTGAGACCGACCGTCTTCCCTCCCTGCAACTCACTCTGCTGCTGGGGAGTCAGACCGGCTATATCCACTCCCAATAACTCGCACTGCTCCTGGGGAGTGAGACCGACTGTCTCCCCAACCTGGAGACACACTGCTGATGGGGATGGAGGACAACATGCTCCTCTACCTGGAATGCACTGCCGCAGGGGATTGAGACCAACCATCTCCAGTTCTTGTAACTCACACTGCTGCTGGGGATGGAGGACAACACGCTCCTCTACCTGGAATGCACTGCCGCAGGGGATTGAGACCAACCATCTCCAGTTCTTGTAACTCACACTGCTGCTGGGGATGGAGGACGACACGCTACCCTCCTTGGAATGTACACTGCCGCTGGGGAATGAGGCCGACCATCTCCCCTCCCTGGAATGCACACTGCCGCTGGGGAGTAAGACCGACCATCTCCCCTCCCTGTAACTCACACTGCCGCTGGGGATGCCAAGTTCATGAGCTCCATCACTTTGGAGACTGGTGGCGTTATGTGGCGAAACAGGCGTACGTAGTCCTGTTCAAGCTCCCACTCCTGAATAGCCAGAAAAGTCAGATCCACCTGCATTTCTGCTATCCCCACAAGGCCCAAGATGTCTTTCCTCTCATTGTGGATCTGCCAGAAGCAGGAACTTACTGGGTTTCTGAGTGCCATACCAATATCAAAAGCATCCCAAAAAAGTCCAGGGCCATTGTAGTCCTCTCCCTCGATGCAGGGGTAGAGGTGGGATAAGGTGGGATGCACGGGTAGAGATGGGATGCATGCCAACCACACTTCAGTCATGACAAGCGTCTCCAGTTCTATTACCCATTCCTCTAATGACTGTTCTCTCAGGAACAGCATCTGCAACTCTAGTTGTTGCCATCGGTCAGGAGGAACTCGCTCCAGAAGGGTCGAATTTCGTGGAGGTCCGCCTTCCAGAGATCGGTTTGGATCACAACCCTCCATTCTGGTTTTCTGCTGTCTGAGATAGGGTTATCAATGCAGCGTAGAACATTCTGTAGCTGCTGCTGGAGTCTTGCTTCAAAGTGGGATACTGCACGACTGTGGGTAGGTGGGTGTCCCAGAAGATGCGCTAGTTTCCCCACAGCTAGGAAGCCATCCCACCACTGCCACCACTTATAGTGGAGCTCCGTGTACCCCGGCTGGATCACATACAGTTTTGGGAGCTCTAGTTCATACAAGGACTTTCCCAGCCAAATCTGCTGGAACAAGGTGCTGAGCAGTGATTAGCCCTTTCCCCTCCCAGTAACGAGACGACACATAGTTCTGGAAGTACAACTGATTTTAATAAGCCAAACTCCGCCTTTTATGCACAGACCCCAGCGAGGGGTCTCCATTGTATTCAACACAAGCCCCTCACAGGAATTTCTGGGCATGGGAGATAATTGAGTTAAAGACCAGTAAGCTAATTATGTCCCAGGAACAGAGAGCCCAACACAAAACAAAAAAAACATAAAAGTACCCCAAACATAATAAAAACATACAATAACCCCACATATTATACATCCCAAAATAGCCCTGATCTGAGCTCAAAGTTGTCCAAATAGCACTCAGATCCATGCAGTGCAGGGGAAACGCCACCGTGTTAAAGTTCTGACTGGTCGCACTCAGTGTTCCTATGCCCAAAATAGTTCCAGGGCGTTTGGTACTTTTGCCGGTCAACTTTTGGGAACTCCTGCGTCCGAAATACGTAATGAGCTGCCTGGCTCTCATGTAATGTTTGTTCCCATTAGTTTCAGGCACCTTCCCCCCAAAAATCTCTCTTGGCGGGTTGCAAAGTTCATGCAGAGCAGGCTCTCTCTCACACAATGTTGCCCTGTTTCTGTCATTAGTAGTCTGGTCTGAAACTGAGATGGGTAAAAGGGAGGAGGGGTGGTTGAAGAAACCTCACTAGCTGAGAGGCGTGCCTAACAATGCAATCCGACCAAAGTTATATAAGTTTATAAACATTTATCACATACTTTTTAAAGTTTTTCTTGTTTTATTTTAATTAGTATATTTGTATAAAATTATTTAAGGTCTATATCAATGGTAACTTATCTAATGTCTGGGTGTACATCATGGGAAATCTAGGTCACAAACAACTGGGGGAGCAAGATTCACCAACAATGGCATACACTGTTCAATTTTGTAAAAAAACTAACATATGTAAAAGTTTACTGCGCATCACTGAATGAAGTGGCAACGTATGCAAGTTACACATTGACTTCATTTAGCTTCTATCATACAACGAGACAAGAAAATATTCCTTTCCTGAAGTTTTTTACACAGAGGGTGATTGTTCTGTTATGGTAGGATCAGGCACTAATGACTGATTGGTCTTATGCTTGAATTTCTGTTTATAGTACAATAAACAAGTGGAAATTCAAAACGTAATAATTTAGGGCCACGCTATCCCAGTGATTTAATGGTTTAATTAATATAATACACGCAGGCTTGAAGAAAACAAATCAATTTTCAATTAATCCTCGAAGCTAGCATATACCTTAAGTAATTGTGTATACGGGCAAAGGAACATTGACAAAGAAATGTCTGCATTTTACAGCATGTGCAAGTACTGGAGGGTATTAAAGGTGCAATTTGCCTGAATTTGTTCATACTACAATTGAAGCTGTGGGTAATTTTTTTGTACAATTAAGACTGATTTGCACAGCAGAAAACCAAATAATTTATCATGAGTACAAAATACCTGGTTATGATGGAGATAGGCCAAAATGTGTCAAATGGAAAGCAATTAGCATTTCAGTTGATTTAGCATGACAATAACTGAAGGTAATTATGCTATTTAACAGCTTTTAGGTAGTGTTAATCAGATGCTATATACCACAGTCGTACAGATTTTGTGCATACAAGCAATTATGTATGCACACATATAGAACAATTATATATAACATCACAGAGGTAACAAAGACATACTAATACATTAAAGTGCATGCACTAACAAGGAATTTAGTTACGTTTCCATGAAAATTTAACAAAATGTCTGGCTGTCAAAAATGGACTAGGAAAGAGAATAAGGGAATTGGGGACAAAGTAATATGTTAATTATTTTTTTGAAAAGCATCTGGGCATTCTTCCATCACAAGATGTGGTGACCCTTATTAATTAGGAAATAAAATAATTTTTTGGGAGGGGAGGGGCAACATTTAGTCATCTTTTTTAGCTCTGATCTGTGATTATCCATTACATTCTATGACTGATTTAAAAAGTGTAAAACTAACTGGGTTCCAGCCAGACCCAGGCAGAGCTTGGCCTGTGATTTATCTGGGAATGCAAAGCGCTCAGTTTTGAGCGACTAATGAGTGTTGTCCTTTCACAGGAAATGTCTTAAAATACACTATTTTTGCTTCGTTAGTCAAAGGAGAGGAGGAACCGCCACGAAAACATGAATGTCACATATAGTTGGGATAACAAGTATCATGCAGATCAAAAACATTCATTACTTTTTCAAAGTCAGGCAGAATACAGATATCTTTAATGGAACCCAAGATTTTCAGTAGTAAAGCACAAATAAATATCACTTATATTTAGTCTGTCTCCTTTTTTTTTTAAACGATTACTCTAACACTTTTGAAGTGTTGGGGTTTTTAACTAAATTACCCTATTGGGCATTATTCCCTAGGCCCCCCCCCCCTTTAAAACCTGCAACAACAAAAAAGCAATACACTGTAACTGAGCTTCTGACACTGATCTCCACGTCTCTGTCCAAGATCACCCCTGACCTCGGCTGGTCCAATCAAATGCTTCTCAAAGAGAAGCATTCGCTTGGATCCCTTCACCGACTCAGATCACACGTGCATGCCCGGAGTCGGCGAGGGGAGGCTTATAGTGGGGGTGGACAGAGGGAGGGGATTTTTAGAAAAGAAATAAGATAAATAACTAACCGAAAATCAAGGGAGGGAGAGAGGGAGGGAAATCAAGCTTCCTCTTGCAGGCAATCTGTATGTCTGTCGCCAGCATGCAGTGAGCATTGATGACAGACATATTTTTTGGGGGGCAGAAATAACATTAGGTTGCCTGGAACCATGTGTGCACGTGCTCCGGAGGTGCAATTAGCCCCTTGCACAAAAGTGAATATAGTTTTGGATGTGTAACGTTTCAAGCAAGATTTGCTGCAATTACAGAATCCTACCACCGTGACCACTTCTTAAAAGCAGAAGTGGTCATGGTAGTTGGCACAACACTCAAGCTTTAATAATCACTATTAAAAGGGTAATTTTTTTATGTTGTGCTCACCATGGTGGAAGGAATGCATGTAATCACTTGTGCTTGAGAAATTAAAATCATTTAACACGGGGGTGCCTAAAAGGTAGATCCCCAGATGTTGCAAGACTACAACTCCCTTGGTGCTTTGCATGCCTTTAGAATGCCTTTGGAATGACAAAGCATCATGGAAGCTGTAGTTCTAAAATATCTGGGAGTCTACATTTTGGGCACTCCTGATTTAAATTGAACTTTCATGGTAGCTTACCTTGCTGTGGACTGCCATAGTGACTTGGTTATGTATAAGCATTATCTCTCATTCTAGTTCACCCATTTAATTAATGCAGAAATGCCACATTACAGATGCAGTTGTAGGGATAACGAGATTAGGAGAAATTTGTAAATTATTATGGAGCATATTCATAAACAGGCAGAGGAATTAATCATATGGAATTTTATATGGGCAAATATCCCCTAGCAATTAACTCCAGTATCATCAGAATATAATCAGAATTATTACAGTAGTTTTGAAAATAAATTATACTAACATTAAATTAGATGGACATCTTAAAGTGACAGGTCCACTAAAACTCATTCGTTACTAAATTCATTTAGTTACAAAAAACATGGCATGTGTAACTTGCATATAAATGTATAGATTGAAGTTTGGAATATATAAAACCAAAAATTATGTTCTTGTGTATAATTTTTATGTGCACTGATTCTGTCATCAAAACTTTGAATGCTATGCTTTATTCTGCTCTATGTTAGATAGGATATAAAATATCAGCATAGATTTAAATGCAGCCGCTTCCTTAATCTCTATTAGATGGTGCTCTACGAGACTCCCGACGGTTAAACAATGGATGGTTAAAGTAGAGGAGATTTATTATTTGTAAACTCTCACAGCATCACTACAAGGAACGTCTGAACACTGCTCATAACTGTAGAGTCCTTGGAGAGATTTTATCTCTAGATGAACCCCTAGCATGAAAGGTTACGGGAGGTCTCCTGTCTTTCTCAATATTCATTCTTCATCGATCTCTGTAACGGGAAAGGTTAAATGAGCTTCTGTAAGTACTAAAGTGGGTGCCAAGGCCTTGATGATCTCTGCTCTGATCCTGGGAGCGTTATATGACTTGTGGAAATGAAGAGAGCCTGGTGGATGGGGACCGGTGGTACAGCGGTGGCAGGGTTTGGACTCTGTGATGAAATAGCGGGCACAATCCTTTCCCTCTCCACCCATGACCTCTTCCCCCCTCTTTGCCTCTCCTTTTCACCCCTCCTTTTTTTTTCTCTTTCCCTTTTCCCTCTTCTCTCTCTAAGGGTGATCTAGGAGATGAGAGTGAGAGCTTGGACTGCATGTTAGGGGCCATATTCAAGCAGGCGATCTATGGGTGGGTGACAAGCAGAGGGGAGGTCCCTGCGAGGGGGGAGGTGAAGGGTACAGGGAGGTAGAGAATGCCTAGTGATGTTGCCTCATTCTCATCTCGAAGAATTTTACTGTCAACGTATATAGTTGCTTAAATAAGGGAATATGCATAATGACTCCTCTAAAAATATGTTTTTCCTTTTTTCTTTTGTGTAAAACCAAAGGAAGCTCATATATTTTTGTAAAAGGCAGAATTTAGATAAATCCCAAGCGTGCCAGGAGATGTATTGTAGGAAAAGCAGATAAAAAGGTACTAGTGGTTATTGTGTTCAATAGAATACACAATGTCTCTTAAACAAAGTAGTACGTG